GCACTCACACATCAGAGTCTCAAGAAGCAAATCTCACAGGTGCAACTGAGGCTTCTTCTCTCTGTGTGGTTCCATGAAAGGGCAGTCAGTAATAGTAACTTGAACATAACCCTGCACCTCTAACAAACCACTAAGGGGACATTTCTGTCCATTTCTGTCTTCTCCTAAGAGAAATTTCTGTCCATACTATACTCAGAAATGGAAAAAAAAAAAAGAGGGAATGATTCTGCACACTACTCTAGAAAGACTCATTACTGTGATACAAGATGCTGATAATCATTCAAATGACTTCTGATGATATGCATTAGTATAAAACCATCACGAGTGAGTGGAGAGTTGGTCTCATCATAAGCACCTGAGGTAGGGTGACTGTAGTAAGAGATATTATGCAGCCTACGACACTTGTGCACAGAGTATGCATGCTGTAGATTATTCCTTCTCTTAAAGATTTAGTGAGTCATTATTAGCCTAAAGTACACTACCTTTATAAGCCATATTTATTATTCTAGAACTTGTTATTCTAGAATTGTACAGAGAGAGAGAGAAGGGGGAAGGAGGAAATGAGAAAGAAGGAGAGAAATACCTTGACAAATGCTTTTCATTTGTTATCCATATTTACAATGTTATATGTCCAAATGTTTCGTCCAGTGTAGCATGTACGGTTGCCTGCTATTATCCATTAATTATTCTGTTTCTACTGCTATCTGCAATACTGTGGGTTTTTCATAATACTAAGTGCATGTGAAATCAAATGCCAGACATATCCAGACTAAAATTCTTATCAGTTAAATTACTAATGAGCATTATATGACTCTAAATATCTATGGAATTGAATATGAAAATAAATAAAAAAAAATTCTGACTACTATTTTAAAAAATCAGGATTCCCTCACACAGAACACGAATTTACAGAGATTGCCTGTGTAAAGTTGCTTGCTTGCACAATTTTAGTTTTGTAAGAAACGGATCAATTTTCTATGACTAGATAGCACTGATACAGATGAAACAGCTGAATGAGGAAATGAGAGCTAAGTATTTACAGTTACACATAATAAATAACAGCAGGAGCCTATTTTATACATATTTCTATTCTGCACTGTTCAAGAGATTTTTGCAATTTGCAAACCCTTTGATACTGAGAACAAATCTATCATTACAACCTGTGCTGACATAAATTTTCTGGCTTGCCCAACAGTCAATACTTACAAAATCAAGTAAAACCCAGGATCAACAACAGAAAATCAGAAATAGTGAAACAAACACTGGGAGACAGGTATGATCTGACTTCTGAATATAGTTCTAAATCCATGCACTGGTTATCATTGATTTATATTTATAATCACACAGGCCATAAATACAGATTTTATAAACTTACATACCCACACATATAGATGTATTGTAAATTATGTTATTTTAGAATGACAATATATGTATTTAACATGCATATAATGAAATATCCCAAGCAAGCGGTGGGTACTACACTGATTTGTGCAACTGCAGACATACACTGCTAATTCAAATTGCCACTGAATTACTACCACAGGCCTTCTATCAACCTTCACCAGATAACCAGTGCTGGGCTACTATCCTTCACTGCAGAGCATGTATGCGAGTTGCTCTTCAAGAGTAATTACTGTTGCACGATCAGAAAGGGTAGGGAGCAAGGAGTAGAGGACCTCTGCTCTACTGCTTAGCAGAGCAGGACCAGAAATAGGTAAGCTTGCTTTAGTAGAACCAGCCACTATATCACAGCTACTTTCCAAACTAGACACAACCTCTGGAAAACTCCATTTCCCACCATCACTGTTTCTCTTGAGAGAGACTGTTACGATGCTTTGACTGCTGGGTCCTCCTTCCTCTACTATCTAAAGCTCATCATCTGTAACATGTTTTTCCAGGTCTTCCCTCTGTATGAATCAGCCTGTGCCATTAATAGGGCTGGCATAAGCTGAGGCCTTTTTGGAACAAGACAGACTGCAAAATACAGACTCTGATTCCAATATGACCGATCAAGGCATAATTTTTTTCCTGTAAAGACATTCAGGGTAAAAAAATGTTCCATCAAATTACCTGTCAAATAATTTTACATATTTTATAGATAAATTTTTATTATAAAAGTTTTAACTGAAACCAATGTTTTGCATTTTGTCAAGAGCAGGGAAATCTGAGTTATGATTTTCCATAGTATGTGAAGAAACAGAGAATTGTCAATGAAAGGACAGATCATCTCAAAAACAATAAAACAAACCAGCCATGAATTGCATCCATAAAATTTTACCTTGAGTTAAAAAAGCTGTAAAGGAGAAATAACTGATGAGATATTACTGCTGCAGTCTGTTTCTCGCTTTGCTCTAAAGACAATACATTTCTTTTACAGCCTAAACCATAGACTTATCAATCAGTTGTAAAAGACAATCGACACTGTCTTCGACCTCTGTATAAATCACATCTCAGCACAAATCTCCCATCATGGCTGCAATACCTTGCTGCCCTCATGATCACTCAGCTGAGCACCAGTACAATCACACTGGGACTGAAAACTTGCCAATCTATTTTTGAGACTTGTAAGGTTAGAAAGTGACCTTGCTGAATGATGAAATCAGTAACTGACAAGTTTTGCCATGCTGAACACTGGCATTTTCTGTGTGCTGTAATGTAGCCTAAATTTATGGCTGAACAAGATGCAATTTCACAATCAACTGCTCAGCTCACATAACTTCCCTGCATGAAATATTTGTTCTAAATAATAGATTTTCAATTTTAATAGCTCAGTTGTACAGTAGACTTGTGAAGTGTTTTATTTGGAAATCTGAGACACTCCAATTATCACAATGTGGCAGTTTTTTTCTAATACACAAAACAAATCGCTGTCAGTCATGATTCACAATTGGTTTACTTCTGGTTTACTGGTTTACTACCAGCTTTCAGAACAATGGATGGAAATTCTACTCTTGTACATTTTAGATATGATTAAATAATTACCCAAGATTAAATGATGCAAGCAGGGGTAATGAGAAGGGAGTAAGATTCTACATTCTTCAATTTTCAATTTCATTATATTTGAGTTCAACAGCAGAGATATGCTGCTGATTTGATGCATGATGTTAATTCCAGCAAAAATGTCTCCCTAAAAGAAAAGATGATTTGTTTCGTATTTCTCTAACCAATGTGTGTTTCATCTGAGCTTTGCATGGTTTTGTACAACCTGGCTAGTTTTTTCAGCATTATTCCTGTTCAATAGAAATCAAACACCATCAAGGAAAACATAAGAAATGTGTGTTTATGAATACACTTAAGTCAGAAGAGAAGTAGTTTAGGATTTCTCAAACGTTATTAGTTTGTTTCCATACCAAATACAATAGGAACTTGGTAACTTCAAAACCTGCCTACATGTACTCAGATTAAGCCTAGTAATTCTTCAGCAGAGTCTGGACTTCTCCAGTCATTCAAACATGCCAGTTACGTCATCAAATCACAGTATTTTAAATCTTGCTTTCATGAAAGCAGGCTTAATGGACTGTATGCATGCTGTGCTCCTAGTAGAGTATTTCCATATGTAAGGGAGACATTGGTTATCGTTTATTTATTTTGATGCAGGTTAGATCTGTGTCTGCCATGACTAAAACAAGCAAAGCCCCCCTAAATACTGCTATGTTTCACTGAGAGGAATTGTTTTACAGTAACAACAATAGCTTTATAAATATGCTTTTGCTTTCATTATAAAGCTAAGAAGGACTTTCTGTTA